GGCCGCGCGCCGCTTTTACTGCTCTGCGCGGAGACATAAAGCGTGGGAAATGATGAATTGAAATTTTGCCGGGTGCGGACATAAACATTGTAGGGCGCGGCGGCTGTAAAGGGTGGCGCGGCGACGCAGAGCCGGAAGTAGATGTAGAGGCGCGTAACGGGCGACGTGACGCGCGCAGGGGGCGGTACCGCCCTCGAGAGGGAGTGTCTTGTCGAGGGGAATTCACTGTCAAAAACACTGCTCAATGCTTACGGTGAATTTCACCGTAAGCTACAGCTACCCTGCACCAGCAGCAGCTAGCCTACGGTCAATCTTCACCATAGGCTACGGTGAAGGAAACTGTAAGTTACGGTTGAATGTCACAGTAAGCTACGGTGAATCAGGGTGCAACACCGTAACTTATAGTGATATTCACCGTACGTAGCTTACAGTGAATATCGACCGTAAGCTACAGTGCTGCAGGATTCGCGAGCGACCGCTCCATTTACTCTTAAAGTGAGTAAAAGGACAAATTTTGCAAGTGTTCGAATGGCTTGTGGTCACTGTGAAAAATGGTCGTAGGTTTACTGAAAACTTTTTCATTTGTGTCGTAAAATTACAGTTTTAAGTTGTAAATTCCGAGGCACTTTGTGTCGACTCGTTGTTAATTTCCGTTCATTTTTCACAGTGGCCGCTCCCCTGCAACACAGTGAATGAGCTGTCGCAAATCTACCAATACCTATAAAGCCGTGTGATTGGATCCGCGGCTCATAACTGCAGGGCGTGACATTCGCGCTCTGGTGTTTCCAGTGTGCCGTTGTCAGAGGCAGGCCCGCGACCCCTTCCCCCCCTACGCCGTGTCGCCGTATATACCCCGTACCCCGCCATCCCTGTCCAAGTATCGAGTTTGCATAAACGCGCCCGGCCAATTATACATGTTTCCATGTTGATACAACACCCCGCCGGCGCTCTCGCTGCGCGGCCACGGGGTCGGCGGGGACGGCGGGGACGGCGGGGACGGCGGGGACGGCGGGGACGGCGGGGACGGCGGGGACGGCGAGCGGGGCCGAGCATGGAGGCAGTGTTGGTCCTGCAATCATCCGGGGTGGTGTTTGAGAGCCGCTACACCTCCACCCCTGCCTGCAACACAACGCCCCCGCCCCATCGCCACCCGCTGCGAGACACAATGTTTCGTTTACCGTTTCAAAAAGTGCTGCCAATTTGACAAAAAAAATCCATATAGTGTCTGGTGAATTTGGTCGGTCGCTTTTCTGGGAATAAATCTCATGCGCCCTCGAAGGGAATCCTCTTTGACTGTTTGAAGCTACACTGAAGTCTTCAAAGCTCCATGGCCAACCCTAAAGATAAACACTTCCAAGTGTTCTACTTTACTGTTGAACATTCAAACATCCAGTCAAATATTTAAAAGTGTGCAACTTAAGTCTTGAGCAATGATATCACACAAGATGCAGACTTTCTTCATCAGTGTAGAGCAGTTACAAGGAAACAGCACTTCTACGATATACGCTGAACTGCTCGAGGGTTCCCCCACTCCTAAAATAAGTGTACCGGGTGTAACTGAGAATGCGCAACAGTGTTGCGGGATTGCATACCCGCCAGGGCTGCAGGGGCCATGGCGCCTTACGGGCTAACTGGGTAGGCAAACCCGCAACACTGTTGCGCATTCTCAGTTACACCCGGTACAACGAGTTGGCGAGCTGATGAGTTGTCGCGAGTTAGGCACGAGTTGGGGTTGGGATCAATTTTTTTTTTAGAGATTTTCGCGAATTTAGCGCGAGTTTTCGCAAATTTTCGGGGGATCGCACAGAACTGCTTTACTCGGGTTTTCATCACTGTGAAACGTGTCTAAAATTAAATTGACACGAACCAAAGTCCGTCAATGCCAGATCACGTCCCAGTACTAACTTATCTAGAAAGTGTAAAGTGATCACAGATGCGGACTGCGCCCCCCCCCCCTCCTTTCCCCCTCGGTTTCCCTTTATATTTTTTTCATTTCTCCCGTTGCTGCCCTATTTTTACGCAATGTTTGTCTCCTTTTGTTGCAGCGAAACTGGACGGAGTGAAGACGTACATGCGGATGCGGCGGGTTCCAGGGTCCCTGCAGGTCAAGGTCATCAAGTGGTTCGACTACCTGTGGTTAACTCAGAAGTGCTCGGACGAGGAGAGAGCCGTCAGCTGTCTGCCAGGTAAGATGATTTATCGGCTGTAAAGTAGTGTGATGTGGGCAAATGTTGGAGTTTAGTTCGACTCACAGGAGATTTGGGAGGCATGTGAAGCAACCCCTTGAGAGTACTTTGTAACGCCGTCGTGTGCATTTGCAGACAAGCTGAAGGCGGAGATCGCCATCAATGTCCATCTGGACACGCTCAAGAGGGTGGAGATCTTCCAAAACACGGAGGCGGGCTTTTTGTGCGAGCTCGTCCTCCGACTGAGACCAGTCCTCTTCTCTCCCGGGGACTACATTTGTAGAAAAGGTAAGCAGCCTGTTTGCGAAACGCAACAGCGCGCCTCGGATGCAAAAGGAGGCTATACGGAAAAAAATTATGTTGGGGGAGCAGGCGCTGTTTGATCGCGGTCTCCCTCTTACCCCCACCCCCATTCTCTCGCCCTCTCTCTCCCTCTCTCTCTCTGACTTCTCTTCTTCCCTCCCCTTCCCCCTCTCTCCCTCTGCCACCTCCCCCTCCCTTCTCCTCTCTCGGCAAACACTGGAATCTCTTTGCAGAAATCGTGAATTTGAAAACGGCACGGCGGGGAGACGTTTATTGCTCTTCTAAATAAAACGGCGGTCCTCTCTCTCCTCTCTCGCGCCTCGGCGCCTCGCCATCACGGTGACGTCCATTACTCCACGGTCAGCTCGAGATGGAAGGCAAAGATCTCATAGTGTCACTTCATTTCCTTTTCTTTTGCCGCCGCACCTTGCCCCCGCGCGCTCTCCTCTGCTCTCCTCCCCCTCGAGCCCTTCCGAGAAGCTCTCCGACGCTTCTCCCCATACCGCCTCTGCTCAGCCGCCGTAAGCAGGCGCTGGAGACCTGAAATGAAGGCGCGGCCCGCGGCGCCTTTCACGTATTTTCGCCCCTGTCCCTCCCCCCTCCCCCACCGTGTTGCTTATTATTCTATTTCAATATACGCAAAGGCGACGATGCTGATGGTCCAGCCTCCCCCTCTACTCCGACCCACGCTAGCCCGAGCGCCTTTGCCTCCTACACGTAAATATAAATACGGCTCGAGTAACATATCGTCTTGCCAGAGGGGTGGGGTGGCGGCTGGCGGCCCTGGCGCGGCGCTCGCTTACTCCTCCCGGGGTCTTCCTCGAGCATAAACTGATTCGATGACACTGATCCGCCCGGGGCGGGCGAACGCGAATCGCGAGATGGGATGGCGAAGAGCACAGGCAGGGAAAAAGAATACTCAAAGCCACCCCCGTCCTCTACTCCTACAACCGCCCCCCTGCCTTAAATATAAAGGGGAGGAAATGAAGAGTGTTAAACCAGAAGACCGTTGATTAAGAAATAACGTCGTTGAAATCGAGTCTGTGGCACTGTCATTAGTGACGTAGAATTAATCTAAATAGTAAATACACAGCACTTGGTCGCACCTGACTCTAAGAAGTAGCGTGTTTTTTTGTTTTCTGTTTTGTTTTGTTTTTGACATCTTCTGCTGCAGTCTCGTTTCCTGCAGGTTTCGAGCGCTGTGTTTTGAGAGTGCGCCCCCCCCCCTCACCTTTTTCCTACCCTCACACCAAGGCGAGGCCAGACAGACGCTGACATTTTTCCTTTTTTTTTGTTTCACAGGAGAGGTCGGCAAGGAGATGTACATAGTGAATAGGGGGCGGCTTCAGGTCGTGGCGGACAATGGGAACACAGTGCTGGCGACGCTCAAGGCTGGCTCATACTTCGGGGAGATTTCTATTCTCAACATGGGCACTGCAGGTACGTGTGCAATTCCATGACCTCACTAAGTCTAGACCCAAAACGAAATAAATCGTCAAAACAAGTCCCAAAATAATGTATTTTGCGCGGTGACCAGTTTGGTATATGATCTTTAACGGTGGTGTTTAAACTGTCCAGGCAACCGTCGGACGGCGAGTGTGCGTTCTGTCGGCTACAGCGACCTGTTCGTGCTCAGTAAGAAGGACATGTGGGACGTCCTCAAGGAGTACCCGGCGGCGAGGGTGCGGCTGGAGGCCATCGCAGTCAAGCGCCTGGAGAAGTACAAGAAGGCTCCGCTGGAGAAGGGTGAGTGTGCTTCGCTGGAGAGGTGGCTGGTCTGGTGCTGCCTTTTGTCGCTTTTGTGCCGTGCTCGAGGAGCAGGGCGGGGATCAACCGATCGAACCGACTCACTCTGTTTGCAGTGGCGCTGGGCCGGTCGCAGTCCACGCCGGGCCTGGTGGAGTCGCGGGGCCGAGTGCCGCTGGAGGAGATGTGGATCTCGCCGGTGGAGCCGCTCGTGACCTCGACCACCACGGCCAACTCCATGTTCAGCCCCAGCCACTCGCCCACCATCAGGTTAATGTCGGGCCGGGTGCCGCTGCCTCTCGGCCCTCTCCCTCTGGCGCCCCTGGCGCCGCCCCTGGCGCCGCCCCTGGCGCCTCTGGCGGGCGCAGGACGGTTCGTGCTCCCCATATACATCACATGCTGCTGTCGCACTGCCGTCGCACTGCGCACAGAGAGGGGACCGTACTCATTTCTAGCCCCCCGCGTTATACTTGCTGTTGTTGTGCTGCATGGTGCTCACGTCGTATGCGCCTCCCTGTGCGCCATTGCTCGGGTCGCGGGCGTTTGCGCACTCTGTGCTGCGTGCAGGTGTGCCGAGCGGCTTGGTTGTCTTGTTCACACCGGAAACGCAAGTGTGTGAATGCCACACACTTGTAGGTGTGTGACTGCCATTCGTACACATGGCGGTGCGGTGTCTGAATTTCAAAGGAAAATTCACATCTTCATACTCCCCCAAGTGTACGAATGGGCAGTCTCACACATTCCTACAAGTGTGCGACATTCACTCACTTGCGTTTCCAGTGCACGTTTTAGATACCCCAAAGAACTAGTTTTTGAATCAGGTGCATGTCCTTGCCAGTATACAGTGACGCGCCTGCAAGAGCACTGCATTGTCTGAATGGAGGTAAACTTGGCTCGAGAACTGGTTTGTATTTTGTGGGTGAGCAAGCCGGTATACGGACGCCTGCATGTGTGGACTTAATAAAAATACCTACATGGCGGTGAAGTGCACACCTGATAAAAGTATGCACACCAAAATTAAAGTTCAGCTTTTTTTATTTATTACGGAAAACGATGTGCTTTTTCGCGACGCTTAATCAGTGTGCATGGGCTTATTGTGCATCGAAAGGCTTAATTTCGACAGTGTCAGACGGAATTGAGTTATGTTTGAAAAGGCATGTGTGTTTATGCGTACGAATCCGCGCCGTGCAGGGTGGGATTTTGCACTCTAAAAAGTATTTGTTATTTTGATGATACCTTGGCTGATTTATACCACTTAATATCGTCGCCAATTACGAAAACGAAAAACCTGAAACAGGATATAAAAGACATGGCAAAGTCACACTGGCTTTTATTTAATGAAGGTACCAGTTGGTTGGTTGTTTCGACTCCGCGCCGTAGTATCATCTCTGGCCAAGACGCCTCACAGCCCAAGCGAGTAGGAGTAGGAGATCCGCCTTGAGGCACGCACGTGCTGCAAGTACCGTCTGTAAAGGCAATACATCACAGTGTTGCGGGTTTGCCTACCCGATCTGCCCGTAAGGCTCTGACAGAACCAATAACTAGGCCACTAAAACAAGGCGCCATAGCCCCTTGGGTATGCTAACCCGCAACACTGGGGAGTATTAGGCCTTACACTCATATGACTGCGGATGGGGGCGGGGTGAAACAGCCATCTGGTACATCGTCAACCGAACGAGAAAGTGTTTAACTTTGATGCCCTTGCCAGGAATCACGCTTGAGTATATCTGTTACGCTTTTCCCCCAGCCTACAGGGTCAAGACTAACATGCATTTTTCGTGTGTTTCCACTTAGATCTTTGCCACCTCACCTCCGCAACGTTGACTCCCCTAGCAGTGCCAACTCGAGCCAGCCCTCATCGGAAGCTGCGGTCCACCCGGCCCCCGGCGCGCAGCCCTACTCGACGCCAGGTCCGTCGTCGTCCTGGTGACCCTCTGCCCCGCCCGGCCGGCCGTCCCGGATGACAATGCTCTGCTTTTGCCTCCGCAGGGACCATCGTCTCGTGCAACTCGATGGCGCCGCTGGCGACGCAGCCGCACTCCCGCGCCACATCCCGGGCGGGCAGCCTGGTGCCACAGGCGCTGCAGGCGATGCAGCTGCAGGACGAGACGGGCGAGGCGGCGCTCAGGGCCAAGATCCAGTCGCTGCAGGAGCAGCTGGCGCGGGTGCAGACCGAGAACGCCTCGCTGTCGGCCAAGCTGTCGCAGCAGCGCTGGGAGGTGGACCAGCGCCTGCTCGACATCGAGATGCACATCTGCGGTGCCTCGTCGGGCAACTCATCGGCGGCCGACGATCGCGAGTCGTTTATATAACAGCGGGGGCCCGGGCCGCCGGTGCGCGAACAGCGCGAACAGCGCGTGCACTCGCACGGCCCGCCTCCTGTGCGGCCGGGCCCCGGGCCGGGCCCCGGGCTGGGCCGGCAGGGACGCCACCCGCTCAAGACGCCGCTAAAGGGACCAACTACTCGATTACTTTTGGCACACAGACTGTCGCAGGATCTCGCACCGCTCACGTTGGGGTCCTGTTGGGGGCCCTTACTGTCCGCCTGGCTGCCATCATGCATCCACTTCCCTCGGTTGCCCTGAGCAGAGTCTGTAGGGGGATTAACAAATCTAATTTTATATTTAATGAAAGATAAAACTACTAAAGAAAGTTAACATTTACTTTAAAGTCAAAAGGAAATTTATTGAGCATATTGGATAACAAATTTGTTCATTTTTTTTAAGCCTACAGAAAATCTCTTTTGTACTGATCTTCTCTCACTCTCTCCCCTCTCTACCCCCACCCAAACCCTTCCCTCTTTCACCCCACAGCCATTTCCTCAAGGGGGATATACAAGACCAGAGTAAATGTGAACTGTTTAGTTTTCACTTGTTTTGTTTTTTCAGTCAAATGTGAAGGTAAGGAGTGTTTTTTGACAGCTGTATCCAACATTTTAATTGTTTTGTTAATTATTGTTGAAGGTCCCGTCCATAAGTTTTTTCTGTTTTTTTTTTTTTTTTTAACAAAAATGTGGTTTAATAGTACTGCAACTTACTAGGAAACAGTTTATATTTTGAATGTGTGAATGTGTTATCAGAAGACGAATTCAATTGTGAAAGTGTATTGTGCAAGACATTGTATGTGTACCTATCATACAGCATCATGGTATTTGGAGGCATTATCTGACTCTATTCACTGTTGTGTGTCATAGCAAAGCGTTCATCCAAATTATTTTTCTGTCTAGGAAGACACATACAATTCAAGTCTGGTGTTGTCTAAGCAAGACAGGTAAACTAATTTCCCACAGTGTCAGTGCTTGAGAGTGCTGACCATACACGAGAACTGAAATCAGGACTAGCTACTCAATTCAGCCTGGCAATGTTAAAACACAATTTTATGCCATTTCACCATAGACCAAATGAATGGATATCTTTTCTGCAGATTGCTGCTGATTGACACGTAGTCTTAGTTGCACAGTAGTAAAGAAGAGCAATGTGCCTTGTCACCAAATGGGCTTGACCCATGCCGCCATCTGCAGGAAACCTCAATTTCCATAACTCTTTAATAAAGTTATCTGTCTAAACCTGTCTAAATCTAGTGCAATAATACATGAATGACTTATCTTTTTATATGATATTTCATTGATCAATGCTAGTCCATTATGGCTATCATAAACTTATAATTTTCAATCAATGATGTGTACATCAGAGGATAAATTAATAAGAGATGTATGTTTCTATACAATAGAACCAACTTCAAGAAAATGTTTGCATACCAGACTAAAAACAACACCCATTTTGCTACAGATCCTCTCCTGTAACTGTCACATTTTAATTTGAAACAAAATGCATTGGACCAATAATATCACACAACTCTGAAACAACGACTGTTGTGTACCTGTGGAGTGGAAGCCTATTTATTTCCAGTTTACCCACACATTTTTTTACTTTGTATGCCAAAGCTGTTCTTAAGCTGTTAACTTTCTAGCAGTCTAACAAACCAAAACCTTCAAATTGTTAAACTCATTTTCCTTTTTTAAATAAAATTTATAGTTGACCTAAATCAGAACAACTTAAACCCATTTTAATAAATCAATTGAATTTGGTTCTTTTTTGAAGAGTATCTTTATTGCTCTAAGCTTTCCTGCCGATATCTATTAACTAAGCCTAATAATGTTACCGGCCTTGTCTTTTCTGTTAACAATCGTCTTCTCTATTGAACATGAATGATTTGTTAAAGGCATTGTAAATGGACAGGCGCTTTTGCAATTATTATTCTTACTCAGGAACTAAGCGCCCAACTGTATATAAAATAATTTATTTCTAAAAATCTATTGACCATTAAATATATTATGTTGGTTACAAAAAATATGGTTTGTCTCTTTTACTCAGTGGCCTGCATTTATTCACATTTCCCCAAATATATTAAACAAGACAAACAAAAAGCGCTTAAAAAAAATCATCATAAATAAAATACTGGCTCAACGCTGCTCCCACCCCAAATCCTTACCAGGCTATAATAATAATGGTCTTTAAATTTCAGCATAATTGATTAAGAAGTGAGCTGCAGGGGTAGAGGGATCCAAGTTTCCTGAGACACAACACCAAAAAATCTAATCCAAGCTTTTTTACACACCCCCAATGCTGACGTGCAACACATATGTGTGCAAGAGATTGTTGTTATAGACAAGGAAAAAAATCATGTACTGCCATCTACGACTAAATATTGAACTTGTCTGAGATAAATTAGAATGATCTTTTTTCAAATATGTGTATATGTATAAAATATTATTCTGTTTGATCAGTTTTACTGCATACTACTTTTAACTATGCAGATAAAGCGTATATCTAGATTTACGACATGGCAATGTAAAACGGAAATATGTTAATTGTACAAATGGAAGAGAAAGCAAATCCACAAGCAACTCCCATCAAGGCTTAAATAAATATTGTGCAGAATCTTCAGAAGTATGAATAAAATCAATAAAGGAAAGTTGTTTAAACCTGCAACAACATTCCAATTGTGGTTAAAGCCAGCCATTTGCTTACATATGCAGGGTACCAACGGCCAATCCGAAATCGACTGTGATCTAATGCCGAATATGTAACCAGCAGCGAAGTTTTTTTGTGTTTTTTTTTTCCTCGCGACGTCGTGCTGGGCTTGTCCAGCCGTCCCTGTTTGTAACTACACAGTTGCAGCTGCAACCGACACGGCCACAGGCAGCTTTATTATCAGAACCGACTATACAAAATAATTTCACTCGGCGTCGAACTCAGAAGTCGCTCTGCGGTGGGATGAGGGAAGTGTCGGAATCTGAGACGACGATGACAACGCCTGCGACGGGTCGGGTAGGCCCGCCCGCCAAGTGTCTGTCTGGAGATGGTGGCCTACCCTCAGCGCCTGAGCGGCGATACCCCCTGCTAGCGGGCTCCCTGCTCTCCTCACCAGCGTGGACGGACATACCCTTACCCTGCAACGAGACTACTACGTGCAACACTGTTGCTTGCGGAAAAAGTTTGCTAGCCAGGCTTTCGGTTGTTACTTCACGGGTTATTTCGCGGAGGTAAGAAACTGCTGTCATTTTGCTAAATTTGTCAATGTAGTGTCATAGTGTCTGTCTATGCATGGATGCGGAAGAACGCAAACGTGATAAGTCTCATTCACTTACCTATTTACATAACCTCATTTTGAATTTACTACTATGATTTTGACATTTCTCCAAGGCAAATTTATGTACATGTCTAAAATATTCTATTTCACTTTTATCAGGATGTTGGTATTTGGTCATGTTTAGTCAAATATGTTGGATCTAGAGAGAATGAAAACTCTCATAATACGAGTGCTCAATACGATCGATACCATTAAACCTGAAAAAAAGTTCATTGCTTTAATTAAGACTCGTTCCTCCTGCCACGAAGAAGGTGAAGCGGGCTGGTAAAGAATGAAAGCCTATGGCCTCAAATTAAAAATTGATTGATATTTATCAGAAAGTTGGTGCAATGAATGTAACTAAGGCTATTCAGAGTAATTCTAGCCCTCGTCATTCCGTCACACTCACAACTCTTGTTCATGACTCTCCTCGTGACAGTGATGCAGAGGTACAGAGGGTAATAATTATACTTCATTAGTAAAGTAAATGTGAGGATGTTTTTATTATAGAAAAGAGCGCCAGTTTGCCCATTTTTTGTTCTTATTAGGGAATAACTGCTGTTAATCTCAGATCAATCCTCAAAATTTTTGACTGTTTCAAGTGGGATTCTAATTTTTTGTTCATGTGTAGTGAGTCAGCAGAAATAAATATTGAAGCCTATGAGATCCCCTATATCTTTAACCTTTCTGTTGCACTAATGATTGCAAAAGGGAATGGAGGACACCATGAAGCAGGACCGGAAGA